TATAAACGCACTGATGTAAAACTAGTTCACCTACTATACTTAAATATTAAGTTTACAGAAAAATGAAAATACTGTGTGTATTTCAGCAAAACACATTTTCCAATTAATATGTAAGCTAATGTGATCTGTTAATATATCCCTCTCATCTCTGAAAAACAAACATTGAAGAGTCTATATGATTCCTTTATATCTCTGATATAGCAGCATTCTATTACTTTTGTCATTTCTACTTCTTTAGTTTTACATAAAAGTGGGCAAACTGGTAGACATTTATGGAGCAAACATTCTGGACATTTGCGGATGTTACCAACATTAAATGAAATGTGTCACATACTCAATGCAACTGTAACTTTACAATTACTTAATAGTGTGAATAACTTAAGTATGTGCACTAAGGGTATTTCTACTGCTATCTGATTGAACACATTTTAAAAGAATTTACCCAGCACTTTAATTATGAAAATATTTTCCAATATGCTAAATTCTCTTTAAAAGAAACCTGAGATAAAAATCAGGAAGTTACTGAACAGGAAAAATATATATGCAACGAAAGATTAAATATCTAATTAGGTTATTTATTGAATTGAGTTAAATATCTATGTCTAATAATTTGCCAAAGTTCTGTCCTAAGACATAATAATGGATTACATAAACACTAAAAAAAATCTTATTTTACATATTCTTTGCATTTGCAAATAATTTTGATACTAAAACTTGTACAGCATTTCCATGATACAAACTAAATAACTCTCTGGATTTTCTAATGGAAAAACAGTAACAACAGGTGCACACAAAATCTTTCCTTAAGCAATAAATCATTTCTGCATATGTTTTTAAAACCGTAACTAAGCCATGATTATTCAAAATGACTACTGTATTGGGTATTTTGATTTGGGTTCTTCTCTCCCTCACACTATCTTCGTTTCTATCATTTACCTCTTATCCCAGAGACTCTCAAACTTTTATGTTATATAAATCACATTGTCTCAAAAAATATCTCATCCACTTCTCATGTGTTTCTGTGTGTGTGTGTGTCTGGGATAGGATGCGATTAAAGTGTGCTACAAGGTGAACCTTCCATAATTAAAAGGAAGACTGACTGCTATGCTTTTAAGATGACAATGTGTGGCTGGGCGGCGTGGTGGCTCAGGCCTATAATCCCTGCACTTTGGGAGGTCAAGACAGGCAGATATATACGAGTTTGAGACCAGCCTGGCCAACATGGCAAAACCCCAACTCTACTAAAAATACAAAAATTAGTCAGGCATGGTGGCTCCTGCCTGTAGTCACAGCTACTTGGCAGGCTAAGGCATGAGAATCACTTGAACCCAGGAGGTGGAGGTTGTAGTGAGCCGAGATGGCGCCACTGCGCTCCAGCCTGGGCAACAAAGCAAGACCCTATATCAAAAAAAAAAAAAAGGACTACGTGTAAGTTGGAGAGTGTACGTGTAAGTAACTTTGCACAGTGGCTGATATACAGTAGACAGACAATACATGATATATTATTATCACGGTCCTCATTTATGTTATAAAATTGTAGCTACTATTTCAAAAGTCGAGACTAAGAGAAAACAAAACACTGAAAACCTGAAGAACAACCTCCAGGTCACTAATATCTGCACAAATCACTGTATCAAAGCAGATTTACATTTGTTCTGAAAACCTGATAATGGCACTGCAAGTAACTGAAAGTATATAAGAGATAATGGTAGAAATTAAACTCACATATGCTGAATTCCTAGTAGAAATGTTGGTGAGGTTTTTAATGAAGATCAAATGAAGAGAAAACACCAGTTCTCCTTTATTCGGAAAGTCTATCTGCTTCAAGGAAATATAGAAAATGCAAACTGAAGCAGTTATGGACACAGTGCCAGAAATGAGAAAAAGAAAAATATTTACGTAAAACCAATGGTTATAAGAACTCTCACACAGTGTATTTTAGTTATTTGTATTATTCAAATGAATTAAAATAAATGAATAATAATATCATTCATCAAAGTATTGATAGGCCAGGCACAGTGGTTCATGCCTATAGTCCCAGCACTTTGGGAGGCCAGTAGTTTAAGATTCGCATGGTGAAATAGAAAAATTAGCCAGGCATAGTGGCGGGCACCTGTAATCCCAGCTACTCAGGAAGCTGAGGCAGGAGAATCACTTGAACCCAGGAGGCAGAGGCTACAGTGAGCCAAGATTGTGCCTCTGTACTCCAGCCTGGGCGACAGAGCGAGAGTGTCTCAACAAAAGGAAAAAAAAGAAAAAAGAAAATTCAGTGTTAAATCCAATTCAAGGTTTTCAAACAGTGAAAAGTTTTAACTATCATAAGGCTAACTCTTTTCCATGTAGAATTCAACTGAAGGACAAGAAAGTTACCGAAAATCTGACACCAGCAGGTTAGGGCTTTAAGTAAGCAAGTTATAGCAGCATTTGATACTTTTATTGCAAGTATTAAAATTCTTAGGTCCAAGTAGTGTCTCAATTAAGGTATGCCAAAGGGTATGAATGCCTCTATTATACACCACTGTAACAATCCTAAGAAGAAAAAACTGGGAGGGTTACCGAAGGATGAAGGACGAGAGTCCAAATAAACATATGTCATTCATTGAAACATGCATGACATCCATTCAAAATGCCAACAGGGCCAGGTGCAGTGGCTCACATCTGTAATCCCAGCACTTTGGGAGGCCAAGGCAGGTGGATCATTTGAGGCCAGTTTTGAGACCTGGCCAACATGGCAAGCCACCCCCCACCCTGATCCCTACTAAAAATACAAAAAATTATCCAGGTGTGGTGGCACACGCCTGTAGTCCGAGCTACTCAGGAGGCTGAGGCATGAGAACTGATTGAGCCTGGGAGGCAGGGGTTGTAGTGAGCCGAGATCGTGCCACTGCACTCCAGACTGGGCAACAGAGCAAGACTCTGTCTCAAAAAAACAAAAAAAACACCAACAGAATGGTATTCAGTATGAATGAAAGAACTGAATTTTAACATTGTAATTGATTTATTTTTGTGAAGCTGGAAGCTTGTAAATGTACATTTATTTAAACACCTCACAAACGGTAATTGCAAAAATAAATTGTCCAATTTAGAGACTGTAAAAGGAAGATTTGGTTTTCATATGAGCAATCTCTATGGGGAAAAAGCACCATGTGAAATACAGAAATCCTTCAAGTCACAGAGCTAAGCAAGACAAATATTTTGATTTTGTCAAAATCACATCCCATATCCTCTATCTTTGATTCTCTAGCCTGGTCATCTTATAAAGATGAGTCAACCAAAAATAACAACTATAATGTAACCTGTGCCAGTTAGTCAAAGACGAGGCAAATTAAATGCCTCTACTTTCATATTTTTTTCCTGCATGTAAAAATTAGACATTCAGAAAAACCACAAAGATGACCCTGCCTACCAACTTTCTAAGTACAACCAACACTATCTCCCTGATAACACCCAACCATTAATTAAAATCAATAACCTCAAAAATCTGAAAACGTTGTGCACACCATATTTACTAAGCTAAAATTACTATATTTCTCGGTTTAGAGGAAAACAAGTAAACATTTACTTTCTGTTTTTGAACAAACAGATTAAATTATTTTTAAGAATGCTCTTGCCTCCACATGACTCAGCTTACGCAGAACATCTAAGTGAGGCAGACCAAGGGTTCTAGACCTCCCTAAAAACCCAACCTGCACCACTCCCTCCTACCAGCAGGGCCCTGAATGGGCCACCTGGGTATCTCCTCCAGGCTCACAGACATTCATGACACCAGATACCATGTACACACCGTATATGACCCAGGGTACTACATACCCTGGATAAGACAGTGGGTACTGTGTACACAGTACATATGACACTCGGTACTAGGCACACACTGCATCTGACACTGGGTACAGCTTCTGTGACAAGGATAGTGCATGCATGGTGCATATGACATTGGGTACTATATATGCATGGCATATGACATTGGGTACTACCTACACACCATATATAACACCAGGTAATGTATACATACTGTATATGCCACCATATATATACACAAAACATAGGTAACACCAGATAGTGTATATACACTGTATATGACACCAGATACTATATATCTAATGTATATGCCATTGAATACTGCACACACACCGCATATGGCAGCACGGTACCCTGCACATACTGCACAGAACACCGGAACTGCGTAAGGGCTGTATATGACACTGGGTGCTGCACATACAGTGTGAAAGGATACTATGTACACACCATATATGACCCCAAGTACTGTGTGCACACAGTATATGGCACCTGGTGCTATACACACAGCATATATGACACCAGGTACTACATACACACTGTATGTGACACCAGGTAAGGTAAATATATTCAATACTATCCAGATACTATATACACTCGGATATGACATGGAGTGCCACACACACACCTCATATGGCAGCAGGGTACCATGCACATACTGCACAAAATACCGGGGACTTCGAGCACACTGCATACGACACAGAGTACACACCATATACCATCCCCGGTACTGCGTACCCACCGCATAGGACACCGCACAGCACAACGCGCACGGGTACACACGAATAAAACAGGTACGGCGGTCACTCTGCAAAAGACACCAGGCACGGCGCACACATCGCCAGCTCCTCCTCCTCCCGGCTCGGGAGAAACGCGCGAGGGGAGACTGCAAGTCCAAGTCCGGGTCCCGGCGCCCCCCCTCGTCCCAGCCGCGTCCTCAGCAGCTTCTCCCCGGAGCTCTGGGTGGGAGGAGGGCGGCGGACCCCGCAGGACTGTCCCGGAGGTCCGCGAGGACCTGTTGAGGCGGCGGCGCCGCTGCCGGGGTCGCTCACAGCCCCGGGGGACCGACGAATCTCCGCCCCGGGCCTCGGGGCCAGCCCTGCCCGCCGCTCCCGGGCTAGCACACGACGTGCCGCGCGACAAACGCTTCCTCTCCGCCCGCCACACGCCCGGGGCCGCGTTCCCCGCCGGCCCCGACTGCGCACGGGCCCAGGAGGCCTGACCGAAAGAGGGGCATGGGGCCCGGCGGGCGGTGCTCACGCGACTCCGCGGCTTCCCGGCCCGAGCAGGCCCCGCGCGGTCCTCCAGGGCCTCATCCCGGGGCCTCCTCCGCGGCCGCCCAAGGCGAGGGGGCGCGGGCCCGTAGCCTCCGCAGGCCCCGCCGCCGCCCTCGCAGGCCCCGCCGGCCCGGCCCGCCATCCACAGAGCTCCCCGGCAGCTCGGAGCCCTTCGCGAGCGGGCGAGCGACCATCAGCACCCGCTGGTGCCGCCGCCGCCCCAGAGGCCGCGGCCAGGCAGGCTCCGCCGCGCGGGCCGCGCCATCTCCACGGACGCCCCCGCCCGCCCCGCCGCCCCGCCGCCGAGCTTTCCCCACCATTATGCTCCGGCTCCTCCACCGCCGCCGCCGCCGCGCCCGGCCCTCCCCTCCGGTGCCGCCTCCTTCCCGCCGCCCGGCGCCTCTCGGGCCTGAGCCGGCGACGGGCGCGGGGGGCGGGGGGGACGCTCAGGCCGCCTCCTCCTCCTCCCTGCCGGCCTCCTCCCTCCTCCCCGGCTCCCCCCGCCCGGACCCCGCCGCCGGCTCCGCGCGAAGGGCTCCGGGCTCGAGGGGCGCCATGTTTGTAATACTCCACCTCAGAGAACGCCGCGGTCGCGCCAGAGCGAGGGAGGCCAGGCGGCCGGGGCGCCGCGAGCGGGGTGAGGGCCGGGAGGGCCCCGCCGCCCGCACTTGGTCGCGTCTCCCCGGGGGGCCGCGGGCCTGCGCGGCCGGAGCGGGCGGCTGGAAGTTGGGCGCCGCCGCCCGGGAAAGTTGGGTCCCCGCGAGGCCGCGGCAGCCGCTCACATGGCGATGCTGCGCGGGGCGGCCCTCGGCCCCACCGGCCCCTCGCCCCGCCGGCCCTCGGAGTTTATTGTGTCGGGTCGAGGCGCCCCGCGGCCGGGCCGCGCACTGGGGGCTCTAGCGGCTGGCGCCGGACTTGCGCGCTGCCGGCCCGGCTTGCGGCCGCCTCCCGCCCGGGGCCGGAGCCGTGCACGCGGCTCCTACCTTCCCCACGTCCTGTCCTCGGCGCTTCTATCCGAAATTTGTTGGAGCATATTCCTCTGTCTCCACACATGCACTCCGTATCCACACACACGTGAAGGCTACGTACGTGCAGGCGCGCTGGAGCCGGGAGCGGGCGCCGAGGCCGGGGCGCGAGGGGGCATTGTCAGGCGCCGCGGCAGCTCAGCCCCGGGTGGACCTGGTGCCTGCCCCGGGCTCGCGGGGTCCGGAACGACGAAGTCTGAGAAGTACGAGTGCTTCCCTTAACAACATTGTTCAGGTAGTCTGAACAGCCTTTTACTCCTGTCGTCAAAAGGAGTGGTATACGCTAAGTTCCTCGTTCCATCTCTGCGCGAACAGGACTGCGAAAAGAACAGGACCACCCGTCAGCAGCCCTGCAAGAACGCTGCAGATTTGCGCGACAAGTAGGTTATCTTCTATGGAGAGGAATTCTAGACTTAATCAGAGACGATCCCTTAAAACTGTGGTTTAAGAAAGGTTCGGAGATAAGCGTATTTTGATAGTGTTCACCTGTTTCCCCGAAGGACCTTTCGCCACCGGGAGTCGGGGAACACCTGTCAGTCAGAGTGCTCGCCTCTGAAATTCGGTGAGTACAGGACAGCAAGGTGTTTTCGGGGAGACCACATTCTCATAACTTTTAGTACGGTATAGTGTTATAATTGTTCTGGTTTATTGTTAGTGTTGTTAATCTCTCATTGTGCCTCACTTACAAATTAAACTCTATTATAGGCAGGTATGTGTAGGAGAAAACGTAGTGTAAGTAAGGTTCAGCACTACCCCGGGTTTCAGGTGTCTATTGGGCGTCTTGACACGTGTCCCCACCTGAAAAATCATTAGGAAGAGACCGTTGTAGGAATTTGGGGATTCTGATAAAATATATCAATCTGCTTCTACAACTGATTTCTAAGATTGTTCGAATTTAGAAATGGGTGGTACTTGAATAGGTCTGTGATATACACTAGTCGAATAAACACAATCTTTACAGCCCTCATTCTGATACATCCCGGAGAGTTTTTGGTTATCTCAAAGAACATCACAGAATAATTTTAATTCATTTTAAGAATAAATATATATCGTTAAAATTTAGTAGAGGGATTAAAACGTGTCAGAAGAAAAGCAAGCCATGCCTGGTTTGAATGTTGGACCGGGAATTCCAACAATGAAGAGCTTTCAGTGAGTCACCTTTTTAAAAAGTCTGTTACTTCATCTGTAAAATAGAGGACTGCATGGTTCTGTGTATTTTACAGAAGGCACTCGAGTAAGACAATATCGTATCAATAAAAAGAAGCTTACCTTTTAGGAAAGAAGTGGCTGCATAACTCCACATTTTTCTCCAGTTACACTTTGTAGGCATCATTTCAAATTTTATACCCCGATACCATCTCTCATTCAACCTAATGTACGTTAGATAACTTACCCTGATTTTCCTATTGGTTTTGCCTAGAATTTAACCCTTGGCTCTATTTTCCAAGTAAGGTGGTATTTATCCACTAAGATGAATATGAATATCCCTCCCCACATAAAATGCAAAAGCCATGGATAATTTACAAAAGAAGGAATAAAACTATTAATAAATACTGACAACTATTCAAATTCACTAGTAATGAAAAATCATTAGGAAGCAATCATACATTCAAACAATGTAACATTGCTTCATAAGACAATTCTTTTCCAGTGATAATGCTACTGAGAGTTAGCAAAATGAACACTTATATACACTGCTGGCAGAAACTTGGGTTGATCTTAACTCTCTTGAAATGCATACCAAGAGGCCATTAAAAGTTTAATTTGTTTCATTTGCCCCTCAACTGAATGCATGTGTGTGTGTGGGTCTGGGGGCCAACGGTTCGAGGTTTGGAGGAAGCCCAGAAGACCAGTAACTAATTGCTGTGCTAGTATCTTAAGTGACGAAGCTATACTCTTTATGGAATTGAATACAGACAGATTTTTACTTCTTAATTCTCCTTTTTGGATTGGTGAGTTTCAAAGTGGGTGCCAGTGAGCCCTGGGGCTTCTCAGAGCTGTCAGGGAGCTGTCTCTGCAGGACCAAGATGTGGGAATACCCCTCCCACCCCCAATCAGAGCAGCACTGCTCTATTTTCTAGAATGAGTGTCCAGATCAGATTTCCTTACCTGGCTATTGGTACAGTATGGTGTGTGCAAGGTAATAATTGCGCAAACTCATTTGACATGAGTTAGGGTTTAGTCTCATTATTTATTTTGTTAAATATTATCAGGAAGTACTGTAGAAGAAAATGTTAACTGTAACTGTAATAAAGTGTGGACTGCTGCAGATGGCTGTGAGTGTAAACGTCACAGCACCTTTATTGGCCCATTGCCTCCAGAGCCACTTCCTGATGTGGGGCAGCCCTCAAAAATGTGTGCCTAGTGAGTGTCATCTCTTACACATGCTACAGCCCCCCATCTTCAGACCTCCAAAAAAGCAAGAGGATAAGAAACATTCAGTAAAAGATGCTGAAGTGAGCAGTCATGATCTAGCCACTCCACAAGGCTAGTTCGTACTGCAAAGGGAGACTTTCTCAGAGACCTATATATATAATATACATATATACACATGTATATACATATACATACACACACACACACACATATATATTTTGAGCAGCAGCAAGATTTATTGTGAAGAGCGAAAGAATGAAGCTTCCACAGCGTGGAAGGGGACTCAAGCGGGTTGCCCTAATAAAATATTTTCTAAGACTATACAATATTCTTTGATTTCATTCCATGCCTTTCTGACTTCTGATTACAGTTTTCCATAGTCTTTAGTATTAGATATTGATGTTCTGAATATGATTGTGGTTTCTCCTTATCTTCTTCTCTATTAGATTAACGTTGTGGCATATAAGTTAGTATATAACAAGTTTATTAATGTTGCTTAAGGATTTCCAGTCACCTGTGGATGCTTTTAAAAATCATGTTTTTGAAACTAGAAAGTTGTGGTCCGAACTCTGTAACAGCAGTTACCATTCATTGCTGTTGCCACCCTCTGTGGCTCAGACTAAAGCTGGTACTATCTGTATTTTAATTTTTAAAAACTTTCAGCCAGGAGTAATGGCTGACATCTATAACCCCAACACTTTGGGAGGCCGAGGCGGGAGGCACTTGAGTCCAGGAGTTCAAGAACAGCCTGGGCAACATAACGAGGCCCCATCTCTACAAAATTTAAAAAAAGAAAAAATAGCTGGATGTGGTGGCTCACTCCTGTAGTCCCAGCTACTTGAGAAGCTGAGAGAGGAGGATCGCTTGAGCACAAGAGGTCAGGGCTGCAGTGAGCTGTGACTGCACCACTGTACTCCAACCTGGACGACAGAGCAAGACGGTCTCCAAAAGAAGAGAAAAAGAAACTCTCAGTATAGGAAATCCATTTCCATTGAAAGCCATAATTCTTCCAATTCTTAAGTGGCAACTTTTTACTACACAGCAACCGAGGAGGTGAGCTGACAGTGCTTGCCAGGCCTAGTTCCAGTGCCTGTGGGCCTTGAAACCCAGGCTCCAGGCATCTCTTCAGGGCTCCAAAACTGGCTTCTGAAATTCAGTTCCCCACTTCTGTCCATGAATGTACACTATTTATTAGAAGTAGGTCCTCCCACACCCAGATTAATATGCTTCAGAACATTTAAAGAAAAGTATGATCCTGTCTTTTCAAGGGCAATTCATCACACAAGATGAAAAAGGGATGTTTGTGTATGTGTGTGCCTTCTTTCCTTCAAAATTGTGATTCTAACCTTTTTCCTGTCTCCCTTTTCCCTGCTTTCCTTTTTTTGAGATTGGGCTCACTCTGTCACCCAGGCTGGAGTGCAGTGGCACCATCTTAGCTCACTGTAACGTCCTCTTCTGGGCTCAAGCGATCCTCCCACTTCAGCCTCCCGAGTAGCTGGGACCACAGGCGCATGCCACCACGCCCAGCTAATTTTTTGTATTTTTGGTAGAGATGGGGTTTCACCATGTTGCTCACGTTTGTCTCGAACTCCTGAGCTCAAGTGATCTGCCCGTCTTGGCCTCCCAAGTGCTGGAATTACAGGAGCGAGACACTGTGCCTGGCCCCTGTCTCTCTTCTGTAGCATGATGTAGAAGAATATGCACTAGTGCACCTGAGTCCAAATTCCAACTCACTGTGAGACATTGAAGTGATTTCACTTTTTTGAACCTTGGTTTCCCTGTTTTTCAGGAGTATGATTTTCTAACATCAGATTGCTTGGATTAGAGTCCTAACTCCACCATTCTCTAGCTGTTGACCTTGGATAAGTTATTTACCAATTTATATCTCATTTTCCTCATCTGTAAAATGGGAATAATACAATTATATGATTTCATAGTGGTCGTTGAGAGGATTAAATGAGAAAATGCATGTAAAATGATAATACTACCTGATTGGAATAACTGTTCAGTATTAGTATCTATAATTATTATCTGTAAAATGGTAATGATGAATATTAAATGGGCCAAATATTGTGAAATGCCTGACACAAAAGGAGCTCCCCTTCTACCACGTCCTGGAGTCCAGCACACAGGACGACAAAGTGAAGACATCTAAGGACACACAAATGTGCGTGATTGATCACAGGTGCATCTCCAACTCCTCATTGGTCCCCACAGATCCACAGCCCGACCCAGGCTGGATCCTGGGGATTTCCTCCTGGCTTTTGATCTTTAGCTCCAGATGAATTACGGTTATCTGGAACAGAAGAAACAATTGCAGCCTGTGTTGACTCTTTCAGGTTGTTTGTTTGTTTGTTGTTTGTTTTTCAGAACTGCAGTTCCGGCAGCCGCTTCCCCAGACTCTGCCTCTGACTAGTTATGTAACTTTTGGCACGTAGCAACCTCTCCCAGCTTCAGTTCCCTTCTCTGTAAATGATGGAAGTTTACAATTCGCACAAGGTTCCCATTAGTACTAAAATTCTATGAATTCCAATGCTATACCGGCCTCTGTTCCTGGAAATCCTGTTGTTTCTGCTCTGTCCTTCAAAAGCTCTCTTATCAGATAGACTTTCTGGTCCTGTTTCTCTTTATCTCTGGCTTCCTTTCTTCCCCACTGCACTTAATAATGCTTGGCCTCTCTGCAGGCACTGTCACACCGGTGCTTCCCTGTAGAAAATGTCTTCCCCTGGGATGGAAGCCAGGACTCTTTAAGAGACTAATTCTTGGATTCACAATGTACAGAGGCATGGGAATAATCGCTGTAATATCTTAAGAAGTTGTTCTCTTCTTCATTTAAACATTTAAAGTACCAGAAAATGCACACTTGCATGTTTATATACTTCCTCCAACCTCTTCTCAGGGATACCTTTCCAACATCTTTTCACTTTTTAGGAATGACTAAATTTAGTCATAGGCTCCACTGTCAGCTTGTGGAGAGTTTCATGCAGTGAACTTATATTAAAACAAAAGGCACCTGCACTTGGCCATCATTACTGAGGTCTATACACACATGTCAATGATCATGTCTGAACACAGAGCTGTGAACATGCCTCTTAAATGTTAAATTTTACAGAAATTCCTTTCTCATTGCCACCTATTTGTGGCAATGGCAAATGAGAATTTGTGCGGGAATTTTTTTAGTTTGTTTTTTGGGACGAAGTCTCGCTCTGCCACCAGGCTGGAGTGCAGTGGGGCAATCTCAGCTCACTGCAACCTCCACCTCCCGGGTTCAAGCAATTCTGCTGCCTCAGCCTCCCGAGCAGCTGGGACTACAGGCACACACCACCACGTCCAGCGAGTTTTTGTGTTTTTAGTAGAGATGGGGTTTCATCATGTTGACCAGGTCGGTCTCTATCTTTTGAACTCGTGATCTGCCTGCCTTGGCCTCCCAAAGTGCTGGGATTACAGGCATGAGCCACCACGCCTGGCCTTTTAGTTTCTTTAAAACCCAGTACTGTGGTATATAGCATTTAAGATTTTCATTCTCTTTCTTCAGCTTTCTCACAGTTGTGATTACTCATATTCCCATACAAACTAATGTTTAAGAAATCA